AAGTGTCTTTTATTTGAAGAAATGTATCTCTGTAATACAAAAAAAAATAAATCACGCGCCACTAAAATGTATTATTACAGGAGATCAAGCGTTAATAATACTAAAATTAATTAACAAGCAAAAACATAATGTTACGACCGCGTAGATCCACTGCAAATACGCACACAACTTTCCGGGCGTTGGGTTCACGTGTTCTTCAATAAGGAAGCCTATATCAGAACTTAGCAATAACCACACAGCGACTGAACTCAATGAAATTTATATTTCAACTGAGCTATCTACACCGATTAGAAAAGAAAACTAAACAATGAATCTGACTGAACATATGCAAATCATCAAAAATTCTTCTAAATTTACATCCGCCAACTATTATAAATCAAAGATATAATTTGTATATATACAAAAAAATCAAATATTTAAAAAATAACATACATAAACAAATTAAAATACAAATACAAAAATAAATGCAAATATTTACACTGGCTTTTAACAATAGGGCACAAGGAAAGTTTTATAATATGATTTTACAATTTTTCAAAATATTTTACCTCAATCACTTTAGTTCTTCATTTTTCGAAAATAGTCATCAAACAAACTCATCCATTTCGATCTGTATCCACTAATTTCTTGACAGGATCGATGTTTTCTTCATTAACTGGCGAAGCTGAACGTCCTTACCTTGACGCATCTCTTATGTCATATTTTCCTCACTGAAACTCACGATACCACCTGAATATGGTAGTACGATGTGAACAATCATCTTCCAGTACAGGAGTCATTTCTTACAAGCATTCTTCAATGTCCAAACCGCGTTTACAAAGTTATATCACAAAATGGTTCGGTATTCAATTTCACGTCAGGTAGACATTTTAAATATTTTACCACTCCACAGTTCAATGAAAACTAACATCAAGCAAATGAAAATTTGACAGCAGTTCAAATATAAACAGGGCTCAACAAGTTCGAATTCGTGCCTACGTGGGCGCACGGGTTGCAAAACTTTCATCTATATAGTGCCCTTTGTATAATTCTTAAATAAATTTGTTTTTTTTTTAGCATATAGATAGAATGACAAAGAAATTAAAATGTTTATCCCTCCCCTTCCAACCCAAATAAAAAAAGAGAGAGAACTTTCTAGAATCGAACCCATCATCTTATATTTAAATTATAATTTCTTTGTGAAAAAAGAGTACAAATGTAACATTGTACTGGGATAAGGTGCATAAATATAATTTCTTTGTTTAAGACAACCTCTGAACTAAAGAAACACTGCACACTGATTGGATAATGAACTCAACGCTGATAAAGGCCACATAACAGTAAACAGCCAATCAGATCGCAAACAGACCCTATATTCCACATATAGTAGTACCAAAAAAGTGCATCACCTTATGTGCATTTTCAAATAAATATGCAAACATGGTACAATTTGTATAGTAAATATTCAGACATTGTACAATGCATATAGTATAATGTGTATAGCCATTATGCAAACATGGTATAGAATGTATAGTAAATATGCAAACATAGTACAATGTGTATAGAAATTATGCAAATATGGTATAATGTGTATAGCAATTATGCAAACATGGTACAATTTGTATAGTAAATATGCAAAGATGGTAAAATTTGTATAGTAAATATGCAAACATGGTATAAACTGTATAGTAAATAGGCAAATATGGTACAATGTGTATAGAAATTATGCAAATATGGTATAATGTGTATAGCAATTATGCGAATATGGTATAATGTGTATAGTAAATATACAAACATGGTACAATGTATATAGTAAATATGAAAACATGGTACAATGTATATTGTAAATATGAAAACATGGTACAATGTATATAGTAAATATACAAACATGGTACAATGTATATAGTAAATATGAAAACATGGTACAATGTATATAGTAAATATGAAAACATGGTACAATGTATATAGTAAATATACAAACATGGTACAATGTATATAGTAAATATGAAAACATGGTACAATGTATATAGTAAATATGAAAACATGGTACAATGTATATAGTAAATATACAAACATGGTACAATGTATATAGTAAATATGAAAACATGGTACAATGCATATAGTAAATATGAAAACATGGTACAATGTATATAGTAAATATACAAACATGGTACAATGTATATAGTAAATATGAAAACATGGTACAATGTATATAGTAAATATGAAAACGTGGTACAATGTATATAGTAAATATACAAACATGGTACAATGTATATAGTAAATATCCAAACATGGTACAATACCTACAATAAATATGCAAGCATGGTACAATGCGTACAGTAAATATGCAAACATGTACAATGCGTAGAGTAAATATTCAAACATGGTACAATGTGTACAGTAAATATGCAAACATGGTACAATGTGTACAGTAAATATGCAAGCATGGTATATAAAATGGCGATAGAGAGAGAAAGTGAAGAGGAAAATTCCTGAGTCCTCTAGCTAAGGAGGTAAACAAAGGTAAAGATCAATACAGATTAACCTGCATGAGCGCACAATAATTGCTATGGCAACCTGCTGTTTTGGAGTGCCTAACAATGGATAGCACTTACCATTGTTTTTATAACAATAGCTATATATATATGTCATAATATTTTGAAATATTTAAATAAAATGTTTGTGTGAGTGTACAAGGAAAGAGGGAAGATAGCCGGGTTAAAACAACCCCCTTGGTGAACAAGTGTCGAGTTTTTACTCCCTCCTAGGGGCGTTATCTGATTCAAAACGGCCTAAAGGCGGCTGGATGTGATGATCAAGGGACAGTTCGCACCGAGGTAGTCTCGACCCCAGTTGTTCCCAGGGTTGTCCAAGAACCTTCTATCTTTCCTCCCCGATCTATTTCCTCACGGTTTTTGCCTCTGGATCCTGTCTCCTGTGTGTCCTTACCACCCATCACTCAACCACCACGACTGATTCACAAATCACCACATATACATTTTTATATAAATTTATAAGCGCTCTATATCACTATTTCAATAATGATGTACATCCCCCGCTGGGGCACTATTTGCTCTGTGCAGACTCTCCACGCCGCTATCCTATACCCCAGTATCGGTATATATGTATAGACTATCGAAACTGCTGGAAAGGTTCTCCACTGATGTAAGAAGACCAAAGATAAGCTTTTTCGACTCTTCATTATAGTGATGAAGAGAACGCTCTTATCATTGGGCGAATATTTCTCCCCAGAAGGCGGAAGAGCCAAATTTATTTAGTCAACAGCCTAGAGGACATTTCGGTATCAAGCACTGTTGGGAAAACTATATGGACAAATTTGGAGAATACATTTGTCCATATAGTCAGAAAACGTCGATATCAACTTGGTGGCCACTAACACAACAAACAGAAAAAGTATTTAACTTTTTAATCATTTTATATTTTTAGAATCTTAAAATTGAGATCTTATATTCTGTAATGGCAAATGCTTTATAAGCGGCGTGCGTAATAATTATTCGATGTTTATATTATCCAACATTACTTTGTGTATATGTAAAACCCATCTTTCAACCATAATTTTCAATACGAGAAAATCCTAACATTTATCGGTTAAATTATTCTTGAAGTTTTCCGTCGTATATGCGACGGAATATGCTTGAGTCTCTATAATAGGCTTAGCCTTAATTGTCTTCCATTTTTATGGTGTTCGACCATTTATTTGGTTCTTGTCTGTTTCCTTTATATAATTTTACTTTAAAGAAACATTGAATATATTTTGGCAAAAAAATGCATATTCGACACATGTATAACAAAGGTCAAAGCCAAGAAAAATAATCAAATTTAACAAAGCTCGCGAAAATGAACCAGATTTGTTACTAAACCCAACTGGAACCATTGGAGAAGAACTGCATTCTACAATGGATTCCTGCCCATGTTGGGATCGGGGGTAATGAGATGGCAGTTGAATTGGCAAAGGAAGCCAAAAGGTTGAGCCAAAGGAAAGAACAAATGTCAGTATTTGACGCTGATGCTTTGGCAAAATACAAGATAATTCAACAAAAGATAAGGAAAATCAAATATTCGAAATAAACTCTGGGAGAATAAATACAAAAACAATAACAATACTCAGAATGAAACACTATAAAGGAATTGCAATACATCCAGTTGGCACAAGAACCTATAGGACATGTAACAACTGTCCTGGTGTGGAACTAACACCTACCAACATATTATCATGCCCAGCAATGGCCGCAGCCTTGCAGAAAATTGACATGGACCCAGAACAGCAGGTTTACATACTCAAGATAGAGGACATTGCGACTGCTGTGATAGAGATGCATGGAGACATCTGAGGCTCTTCATTGGACACGGCAACAACAACAGAAAATTGACATGGACCCAGAAACAGCAGCTTTATACACCCAAGATAGAGGACATTGCTGTGATAGAGATGTATGGACGCGACAAAAACGAGCCAGATTATATTTATAAGCTTACTTCAGCAAAGGTCGCAAAGAAAAAATAAACAAATTTACTAAAATTCTAAAACGATACCAAACGATCATTTTGGTACGAAACGACAGCTGATGTTTACACACTTATTCAGCACATGTACAATAAAAATCACAGCGAAGAAGATGTATTCAATTTAATAAAACACGGACTTGTGTAAAAAATCGGGCAAAAAAATCACCAAACGATAATTTCGGCGCAAAATGTAGCAGACGACAAAAATACATCCGGTAGAAGCAATCAACCGGATATTGACACAATGGAATGATGTTTATGTATAGGCGACACAGTCCTCGCGACAACACGTGGTGGACAAGAATCAATTGTCAACACAGTCTGTTTGTCTGGAATTCTACCGTGTCGTACGTGACGTCAGAACACGTGAGTAAACATCCATTTATAGCTGAGTACAAGTTCAACTCGTTTTGTGGTTCCATGGTGTAATGGTTAGCACTCTTGACTTCGAATCCAGCGATCCGAGTTCAAATCTCGGTGGAACCTTTTTTTAAGCATTGGTGGTTCAGTGGTAGAATGCTCGCCAGGGGCGTCCCGGGTTCGATTCCCGACCACCGACCAATGTTTTTTTTTTTTTGTGTTGACCTGGAGCGTAGTTTAATGACTCGCTCCAACTCGAGAAGGGAAGGGTTCGAGCCTGTACTAGTCGATTTTGTTTCCATTGGGATCAAAAATCATCCATTTTGGTTAGCAGCCCCGTAAATAAAGATATTTCCAAGTTCAACTCGGAAACTGTTGGAGTTTGATATTTAGGCGATTGTTCAAAAAAAGGAATAAATCCATATAATTCAGTTTCCTATTTTAAACATCCTTGAAATTACAAGCGGAAACTGTCACAAAATTTAAGATAATATTAATTTAATGTTATATATTACCTATTCTCTCTATCTCTGTTCTAAATATCACCATATATATATATTAATTTTTAATTAAAAAGTCATATATATATTTTTTTAAATTATATTTCAATTTAAAGCGCTATGTCCCCCTAGGGACACTTGCGCTGTCATACATGTATGCCTTTACATTTGTCTACACATATATATACAATAATTGGGCAGTTCTTTAAATATCTTTTCAAATTTTCTATCTATTGTTTTATCAATAATTTCAGTCAAATTTTCAATTGTATTTTGTTTATTTAAATCTTCTAAAGATTCGATTCCACTTTTTGCCTGATTTATCATAGACGACAAGTAAGATATACTGTATATTTTTTTTTGTGAGTGTAAATATTTTACCAATATTTCAGTTGGCTGAACGCCAACCTTTTTCAAGATATTATACATATTATTGTGTATCAACAACAAACTCAGCGTCATGTTGACACACATTAATATTATGAAAAAGAAAAAGACATCTCCTTATCGTGCAACTGAAAGTTGCTGTTGGCTTGCGCCATCTATCGGAATAAATATCAACTATTCTCGTTGGTATTTGGCCAATTCTGGAATACGATAAGGAGATGCCTTTTTCATACTTTATGCACCTTATCCCAGTACAATATCACATTTGTACTATTTTTCACACACACACACACACATTAATTTATTATAATACCTTGAAAAAGGTTGGCATTCATCCAACTGAAATATTGATAAATAAATGATATTTTGATCCAATATATGTATTTTTAATTAAATATCTATTTATGGATTGTTCTATTTTCAAAATATATATTAGTTCCAGTTCCAAATAACTTTATTAAGTGCCGCTCAAAAAGAGCAACCTAGATCATCATTTTACAATATACTGTGGGGGATGTACAGGGTTTGTTCATTTACAATTATAATTTACTAGACGGGTGACCCGGGCTTCGCCCCGGGATTGACCCGTGTGCATATCTACCCGAGTTATATATATTTAGATAAGATTTTTTTATATAATTGTTTGTTATTAGCATTATCTATTTGTTTGCATCGGCATAATTTAATCTAATATTTGATAGAGGGCGCTGATCGTGAGCTAAGTAGAATAATTTGAATATATAGCTTTAATAATTGATTTATATATTTTTTAAAATAGCCTATCGTCTTCCCCGTATTTTTTTTACCTATGTATGGAAATTCTGGTTTGAATTAGTGAACTACTGCGAATTTGTATACCGGACATACAAACAAACAAAACATACAAACAAACAATACATGCATACAAACAAACAAACATACAAACATTGATTTTTATATATATAGATATTGATGTCGTTGGGTCCTCAGGTCCTTGGGGATATTGTTCTTGAGAAGGTTTTGTCTGGCTTGTTTGATATTCAAGGTGGGTTTATTTTTTCACTTTTCGTCATTATGGCTTAATTGATGGAGAATTTGTCTATGTTTTAAATTTCTTATTTTCCTTTTTCCGCATTTGTAGTTTGTGGCTTCCTTGAAAGTGGGGTTTTCTATTTTTTCGGATTTTTCGTAGAATTTAAATGATTGTCTAATAATGTAGTCATTGATGTTTTCGATATTTAGATCGTTCCTGAGGATTGTGTTCCAAACGAACCAGGGTGGAGACATGATTTTTCTGATCATTTCATTTTCAAAGACTTCTAACTTTTTAAGGATGGTCTTATGTGCTGTAATAAAAATGGGGTGGCCGTATATGAGTATTGGTCCTATTATTGACGTGTAAATGGTTCTTTTGAAATATATATTAATATTATCCCTATTTCTATCCACATATATAGATAACACACTAGCGGAGGTTTTAGTTTTAAAGATTTAAGCAATCTTCTCCAAAGATACTGAACAATACATAGCGATGTGTATGTGTATATACCAAAATTGTATTTATTTTACTTCATGTATTACACTTATATTTGTATTCTCTGAATATTAGTACGTATGTTTGTAGGTTTGAATGTAATTCTACTGTCCTATAAACGTATGTCCATAGTTTTCTTGAAATCCATTTCTGAGATTCTACCCTTCAGTGCTGCGTATATAAACAGAATCGTCCAATACAGTATTAGAGCTCTGAGAAGCGGTCTGGTGTATTAAATTGGCGAAGCCGCTGGGAGGGTTCACACCACTGATGAGCCAAGCCTTCCCAATATATTTTTTCATCACCGTAAGGACAGTAGAAGTTTGTATTGTATATAAAAGAAACATTCGTGCTTTTAAATACAGTCGAACTTGGATAATTCGAACCCCAAGGGACCATAAAAAAAAATTCGAATTATCCAAAAATTCGAATTAAAGATGTTAAATTATTTATATAGGAAATTCTAGGGACCAAGATAAATATTCGAATTAAAGAGGTTTTCGAATTAAAGAAGTTCGAATTATCCAAGTTCTACTGTACTTTCATTATATATATACACACACAAGCCTTTTTATTGGGGCATCCAGCCCTATACATGATTCCCCTCTACAGGATTTAGCAAAGGAAGATATTTCAAAAGTAAAAACTAGAATACAAGAGGTAATAAGGAAAAAGAAGGGAGAGAAGAAAGAAAAAACAAACAAAAGGAAATATAACCATATATACAGAAAATAAACATACAGAGCAAAAGGAACCATACATGATTAAATATTTAAATTAAAGTACCAATGTTTAGGCATTATATATATGTGTGACAATATGATAATAATGTGGGGAGAGAGAAATAAGGAATCCACAAGTTTGGAAGAGGAATTCCCAGGCAACCAGCGAGAGAGAGGTAGCGCGAGGGGCTGTCACCGCTGAACGACCGTTCGTGTCGCACACCACCCCCCAACTGTCCAAAAATAGTCCTGAGGGTTCCAAGAAAAGGCCCCCCTCCGGAATGTGGCCAGTGGCCCAAAATGGCCGTACTTTAGCTACCTTTTATCTACGTCTCTCTCTGATTGACTGTAGGTTTACTTTATTATTCCTGGAAGAGTATACATTATGACATATATATATATATATATATATATATATATATATATATATATATATAGCGCGTTATTGCTTTGTGTTAATTAATTTTTTATTTAATCAGTTTTCCGATCGTAGATTTTTGCTTCAAATTTTACTTTATATATAGAAGTTAAAACATGAGTGTAGACTTGGTACAATAAAATAACAATTTGTATAATCAATCCCATATACTTCTTGCTACAAACTTCTCTAAAAAATGGAATTTTCATTTAAATATCGGAACGCCAAAATGACGCCTAAAGTCCCATTACGAAAGACTTAATATCCTCCCATCATTTCTTATACGAATATTGGATTCAGTCCCACAATTTGGGGACTTTCTAAACTGAGAGAAGTCCATATTGTCACGGAGATAAATAAAGCAAGGGCAAGTTTGTGAATAGTTAATTTATTATAAGGGGTATTTATAGGGAGAGAGAGAAAGTACAACTTACCCCAAGAGAAAGATAATGCTAATGAATGGCGTCAGCCACCGTCTCGTTTTTCTTATTTTCAGCCCAGCTTCCGAGAAACCCCTCACAACCGTTTGCCCCCCCCCCCCCCCCCCCCCCCCCCCCCGCCCGGGGTCCAGGGATGATTGACAGGTGTCCTCTATGACAGCGACCCGCTGATTAGCTTGTCTCAGCCCTTGTTCTGGAAGGAAATCTATCACGGGCTGGTGTTCCCTAGCATAATGGAATGTTGTTCTTCAGGGTCCGGGTAGGGCTTCATCCGAATGACATGGACGATATCCTTGGCTTTCCGTGATCGGGGAGACGGGTCCACGGGCTCTACTTCATACGTAACTTCTGAAAGCTTATTGGTCACCTTGTAGGGACCGAAGTATCTCTTCAGTAGCTTTTCTGAGAGCCCTACTTTTCGGATGGGAGTAAAAACCCACACAAGATCATCCTTCTGGTAATAGACTGGAGTATGATTCTGGTCGTAAAGTCTACGGTCTTTCGCCTGTGATTGTAGAAGGCGTGATCGGGAGAGTTGACGCGCTTCCTCAGCTCTGGTCACAAGTTCTCCAACGTAGTCGTCAGAGATCTCATCTGGTAGGTAAGGTAGTACGACATCGATGCAGGTCTCGGCCTCGCGGACGTGGACAAGAAAGAACGGAGTGTAGCCGGTCGCCTCCTGTTTAGCAGTGTTGTAAGCAAAAGTTAGGTAGGGTAAAACTTGGTCCCAGTCCTTCTGCTCAACACCTGTGTACATGGACAACATATGGACAACATTGATCTCTTTTATTACTTGAGAAATAAAATTTCTTCCGCGATCTGTTATCATTTCTCTAGGAGCTCCATGCTTCAAGATAACATCTTCAACCAGGAACATAGTTGTTTCAATTGCTTCTCCGTCTGGGATCGCTTTCGTTATGGCATACCTTGTCATATAATCGGTGCACACAATGATCCAACGGTTTCCATCTTTAGAAACTGGAAATCTTCCAAGGAGATCAACCCCGACCTTATAGAATGGCTTTTCTACAGGTGGTATGGACACAAGTTGTCCAGCCGGACGTCGAGGTAATTTCTTCCTTCGTTGACACTCCCGACAATGGCTTTCATATAGGCGAACAGTTCTATAAAGGTCAGGTCAATAGAATCGTTTCTTCACTTTGTCATACGTTCGGGCTAAACCCAAATGCCCAGCTGTAGGAGCGTCATGTAAATCTGCCATAACT